TTTCGACTATACGATTCTACCATAGGTTTTTACTAATTGTAGAAAACAAGCTTTCCTTGATCCCATGTAGTTGTATTTTTAGAGGATATTTAAACAATCTTTGCTCATTTACCATACTCCTCTTGGTTTCGTCGAAATGTAGCGCCGAAAAGCGATATCATTGCAAAAGGAAACCACACTAAAGCATAGGATAATGAACTATTGTTTATTTTTTTGAATAGTAAATTTCTTCTATGAGAAGGAAAATTCTTCTGTATTTACGGTTTGAAACGTTTAAATATTGCAGTGGGACGAATCTTTCATGATTCTAGATTTTAGAAGTTGACTCTTAAAAATCCCACCTTATTAACATAGAAAGAAGTCAAACAGATGAAAAATACTATTACCAACCCGAGTTAAAGAGTCAAAATGTACAGAAAATACAAAATACAGTAGCTGTACTGTACCCATGTCTACGTTTCTGCCAAGAGCTATTACTTTCAAAAGAACGGATAAAAAGACAGTTACACTTGGCAAGAAACTACAAAAATTCAAATGAGAATAGTTTTTATTTTTCAGCCATGAATATATCAAAGTTCTACCAATTGATTTGTGAATTATGTTTCAGTAAATGAAATAAAACTCAAGTTATGTAAACAAATACTTCTAAAATGTATTTTGTTGTCTCGATACACAATATTATATCATATCAATGTGACCATAATTTGTGCGAAAAACCACGTGAGCTTAAAAAGTTTGTTGAGCTGTACAAGAGCTATTCAACAATTTTATTAAATTTCTGATTTAGACTTTTTTCTTCGACATTTTGCATTTTCAGTGTATTAAAATAAATTTCAAGAAAAAAAGGTATTTATTGTGGAAAACAAATCAACTTTGTCATAATTTTATGTCATCTTCTTTATCGTGATCTTTCTCTTAAATGTGAACTTCAAAACTTTTATTCAAACTACGTTCTGTTGTACCTGTATTGGTGACTCACTATAATTTATTGTATGTCGACATTGATTTTTCTTAGATGCTGACCTCAGCGTTCTTTCTTTTGCATACATGGGTAAATATAAAAAAAAGCAGCTAAATGGTTCATATGAAAATTGGAAATACAATTAAATATTTCCGTTTCTTTTTTGTATCTAAATTGATAAAGCTGCACAATATTTTGGGAAAAACAACATTTAGCAAACAGTAGGGAAGCTATTTTTTTCAGAATGTTCTCGTAAAAGTTATCAAATTGTGTTCTTCTGTCATTGGTGTTACCTTATAAAATTTTGTTGTATAGAATCAATTAAAAACTTATGAATGCAAGCCATGATAAACATGTACTAGGATTATTCAAGTTTACTGATAAGTCCAAAAGTATCGTTGTCCAGTGATGAAAATTAAGTTTTCAATCATATTTGGACATTGACATGAGACAAAAATAAATAGACACACACTAAAAAATGCTGTAAATTTGGTGCCATGTGTGTACAGTTCAAAATAACATAATTTATGACTTTTTTCAAGGAGTGAAATTAGGTAATATAAAGTTATTTCTTACATTTAAACTTATTAAAAGTAAAAAATAACAAGTTTTAGGTTGGTTACTCCACTGACTCAACTGTAACACCAATGATCGAAATTAGTAATACTAATGACTTAGCACTTAGCAATTAGCATTTAAACATACTATAACATGAAACTTCATGTGAAAGACAGAATACACTGCATGGCTAACATACAAAAATGAAAAAAAGTTTCTGGGATTTCATACTTAAAATCTTATAACAAAAAGAAATCTGGTAACACCAGTGACAGAATAGTTAACTTTTATGGTAACACCAATGACTGGTGAAGTAACACCGGTGACAAGAGATATGCAGTGTTTGTTAATCATTGGTTTGAAAAAAAAATAATGTTTGTAGGGTAAAAGGGTCTCAATTGTGAAGGATATGATGTTTTAAATCCCACATTCTTCATTAGAGAACTAGTAGATAAAATGTATCAATCAAAATCTCTTGTCACCGGTGTTACTTCACCAGTCATTGGTGATACCATAAAAGTTAACTATTCACAGAGAGATTTATACAAACTAAGTTAAGATTGACTAATTTTACTTTACTTAGGTGATAAACTCTGAGATTCATGCATGGCCAGTGAATTTTTCAGAAGGGAAAATATATTTTTTGAGCATAAAAAATGTTTTGTCATTGGTGTTACATGTATATGATCTGAAGTTGTCATTGGGATTACCATATATTTAAAACGTCTGTAAGTGGGAAAAAAATATTTATTGGAAAAAAAATCAATTACTTTCAAATACCATAAATTAGGTTTGCAAAGTAGAATAAAAATAAATAATTTTTCAATATAAGAAGAATATATTTTGCCTCCAAAAGTACTTGTTTTGTCAATGGTGTAACCATTCCTGTCATTGGTGTTAAACTTTAGAAAGTAATGCCAATGACCGTAACACCAATGACGTATTAGTCATAAAATGGTCTAATATTTCTAATTTACCCTGGATAAAGTAAAAGTTTTGTCAACATTGCTTTTAGTTTCCCTAAAGAACATCTTTCGTAAAAGAGTTCAATGAGTATCTAAAATCGTTTTGAAATAACGATGGAAACACCACTGACAAAAAATGTTTGTACTAGTGTACTTTTTTACTTCTGAAGTCCATTAATATGTTCTGATCCTGAATATCAAGGAGCAGTTTCTGTTGTTTTTGGTGAGAAGTGATGTAATATGACTTAGGACTGTTTATATTTCCTTATCAGGATTGATACCTCTTTTGTAGCAAAAACAAAAATAGTAACACCAATGACACAACTTTCTAGTACAGTCATATTAAATGCTGTATCAGTTAAATGGAAGGTGGGGCTCATACTTTTTTATTCAAAGTATATTCTATTTAACGTTTATTTTATGTATACATGATTTTTCAGACAAAATTTCATATAATTTTTGGCGTATTTATCCTTATTTGAAGAGAAAAATTCCATTGACAGCATGAATTTGGCTGATTGGTGTGATAAAATCATCCATTGACTTTAATGAAATTAATTATGTGAAAATTTCTATTAGTAAATAGGAAGTACAGATGTCATAGATTGTAAAGCAACAATCCAAAATTGGGAGAAAATAAGAAATAGGATTTTACAAAGAAGTGACACATTTAGCTGCTTTTTTTTATATTGACCCACTGTATATGTGTAAGATTTTTTTTCAAATCAAACTCCATACAAACGTCTAATCAAGGTTCTTTATCTCTGCCACAATTTCCAAGTTATTACCTTTATCCTATGACGTTGGATTTCATCCATTCTTCATTTTCTCGAAATATTTCTTACACGGATAAATCTTTGTAACGGTATTTTTGAACAATTTCTTGGCTTAAATGACATATAAAATAAAACTACCTTAAAACATAACTTCATAAAATATGAAGTAAACCAAGGGTAATCAAGCTTAAAGGTTCATTGAAACTATACATAGAACAAACATTGGCCTCTAGTTTGGGATCAGATGTCATACAGGAGTAAGCATCCCATATCCACCCATCATAACCGCCTCACTGAAAAAAAACTAGTGAAAGTCACTGGGAAGACTAGTAAATTTACTGTCCATACAATCACTACCTCAAAAGTAGTTTTACTAGGTATTGTGTAGATTTATTAGATAATATTAGTAAATCTCAGAATTTATAAGTAACTTTCACTAGGTATCTAAGTATCTTTACGATCATCACTCAACTTTTCACTTCTTAAGCTTGTACACAGAGAGGCACACTAGTTAAATCAACTGGGTAATTCTCTCAGTGCCTTGATTGCTGCTCCTTATTGTAATAGGGCTAATTAAGGGGAAACAAAAAAAATTGACTATTTGGACTGAAAGCAATGACTTCACAATGGAATACTTAATATTTGACCTAATGAAAGATTGTGTTTGCGAACAACGTCATTTTGTTAACCAAAGAAGTTGCGAAATGATGACTTTCAACAAGTTTGCCTCGTTTCAGTTTAATGCCACTAGTTCGTACTTGATCTTGTATATCAAATCAAGTCAGAGACATGTACTTCATGTGCAGCCGACAATGGAATATTGCTATAAAAATAAAGAAAGTTGACGATAGAAAAGTCGAATTCAACGGATTTTTCATAATGTTTTGTTGCAAAGTTACCATTAAAATATGTAAAATATAGTAAATAGTAAAAATAGTAAAATATGAAACAGATGTGTATGAGAGTCTATCGTATCTTTTGGAATATATAGACTCGACGTGGTAACGAAAATGAATATGGTTAATTAATAAATAGTTGTCGATATACCAGGTATCTAAATACTAGTATTATATTGGTCACGGCAAGAGACTTCCTTTTTTCGATATAGATATAGAAGTTTTTGAACGAACGCTGCTTCATACGACGTTAGCATTGGTAAAAAAAGACAATTACAATGTAGTACCCAGGGTATTTCCGACAGATTGTTGGAAGACGTAATCTCCAAATCAGAAATCAGAAACTCAAAAATCTTTTAATATTAACTTATGAGTACAAGATTATGTACAAACAGATTTTTTTAACAATTAAAATGGTTTATTACCTGACCAGTGACAAGGTGAGATAATTTACAAGTTCCATTTTTTTATTGAAAATCCGCTGTCTATGTCAAAATTAAGAAAGTTATAATTGCTTTTGTCCTATTTTGCTATAAACTGCGACCAAAGAAACAAAGTCATTATTTACTTCTAATGGTGCAATGCAAAATAACAATGGGGAGGGGCATACGATCATGCTTTTTTTGTAATTATAGATAATACTAGTTTCATCAAACGAAAGTCAATTGCATCAAAGATATATTTTTTTAGATATAAAAATAAAATCTTTTGTCATCGTGGCTTGAAATTTTAGCTTACTAATCATATTTTGTCGTCTGTGGGTGGACACATCGATATCTTTTTAAAATGTATAAAATGAGCTGAAACCCAGGGGTCTACACAACTACTGGAAAGGTGCTCCAAAAACCAACAGTGCTACAAGAAAAGAAGGTATGTATGTTAAATTTTCTTATAATTATTTAATTTTTACTTCCCCCCCCCCCCCTAACCATTACAATTAATATTTAGTATTATAAAAAAACCCTTAAGAATTACTTTTCGATAGTAAACTGTACGAAATGTATCTTTTTCTGAAAAAGAATTACATAAAAAAAGGAATCGGGAGAAATAAGGAATTTCGATTTGAACAAAGATATTTTAGTTTCATGAATTTCCTGTGATTTGCCATGCTTCTATTAAACAAGAATAAGCATAAAACTGCGAAATATAATCAGTATCTAAATTATTCTATATCTTTCAAAGTATAATGATCAAAATACGGCATACTATGTCATCGGGTTAAAAATATTATGGCGGAATAAAACGTGGCGAAGAAACTTTGTATTTAACTAATGTAAGAAACTCTCCTTAGTAAATTAAAAAAAAAAACAACATTTTGGTTGATGATGTCCGGATTATTTTGTTTATTTATTCATTCATTTATTTTTCTAAGGGGGTGAGATGTTAACAAATTTTGCTGTGCACATTTATTTTTTGCTTCAGATGCATACTGCAATAATTCTAATCGTCTGCGTTTCTGAACTGCTTTTAAGTGATGGATACGTCGTGAATTTTCAACGCAGATGCGACTGTAACGAAGTCAGCCACGGTTGGCGGAAGGATACATGGCAGTCGGACGCCATTCACTTCTGTGTCCCAAGAGGACGCGAAAACAAGAAGTGCGAAGTAGTTAGTAAGTTCTTATAAATGTCCTTTTCCTTGGTAATAATTATTATAAAAACTATAAATACGTACTATAAACAGTGGTAAAAATGATATCATGGCCTATTTAACTTTAAAATAATATACAAATGAAATCTTTTCAGCGTAACGATAAAACTTGAATTCATATTCGAAAATTAACTGTTCATATCAAAACACTTGTTATTCATATTAGTAAATTTGTTATTAATATTCGAAAACGTATTTATACTCAAAATCGAAAATGCTGATAATGATTGTTACAATAGGGCCACACGCCTGTTCGCCTTAATCAAGGAATAATATGACTTAATTGATTTAATTGAAGGATCAAAATTTGGACGCTTTTGCATTTTATTTTTGCCCCTTGCATTTTTGCCCTTGCACCCTTAAACTTCCGCTTCTTTGCACTTTCGTCTGTGCAATTTCGCCATTGAAAGCAAAATTTAGTGTGAAGGTGCGAGTTTTGCAACTGAAACAATTGTTCCAAAAAATCAGCTAGGTTATAATATGAATTACAAATTTTAATGCAAGTATTTATATGTCATATCAGATTACAAATTTGTCGAGAATTTTTATTCCAAATTTTACAAAAGGATAAACTTTTTTGATATATATTCAAATAATTCTTGATTTAACAATTTTTTTAAATAGTTAAATTATTCTTGATTTCATTACATGCCAACATTGTAAATTTGTCAACCTTGTAAATTCTCGACCGATCGGTGCTTTTATAATGCACAGGGAATGAACCTCCATTAATTGTAATTTAATCACAGTATAGCATATGCTTTAAAAGAGAAAGAAACGTACCTATATTAATTTATACATTGGATTGACGACGCATTTGTATGTTATTTACCGATCATGACAAGGAGCACACGGGGGGTGTGACCGTGGATAGGGGATGCTCACTCCTCAATGGCACCTGATCCCACCTCTGTTGTTTTTGGAGGTCCGTGTTTGCTCTGCTCCTATTTTGTATAATTGTTTATGGACTTTTAATCTTTGAATACTGTTTGTTATCGCCATATGTTTCATATTCCTGTGGCCCAAAGCGTACGACTACGACTAAAATTTCAACACTGTAATTTTTTTTTATAAAGATATTTTTTTTCTTAAATAATTATTTAGAATTTTATCATAAAATTATAATATAACGTAATAGAGATAATTGTCGCAACTTAGACTATAAGTCGTAGAAAGGGATGGGGGGGGTTTAGGTTTTTTTAATGTGTGAAAAGGTCCAGTGAATGATATTTAAGCATTTCTATACCCACCATACAATATATTATTACATTACCTTACATTTTTGTGACAGATGCCACCAGAGGAATCGACTGCTCCCTATTTGGTGAACACTATCATTTACAGGGCGGCTATCCAAAGAGGATAGCTGAGTGCTGCGAAAAACAAGGTAATTACATGTATATTGTTCATATTTAAAAAAAAATGAACTGGGTTAACATATAAGTGAAATTAGAAATGGTGTGACTGTTATAAATGTAAATGAATACGTTTTCCGGGGTTTATATTTGCTATTTTTTTAAAATAAGAAATGAAATTCATTTTACAGGACAACGACTCGTTAAATGTGAAAGAATACCTAATGTGTTCTCTTACAGAAGAAATATTGACATCATGCACTTCGATAAAGTCCTGAGAAAGCTAATTGTGTGGGTATCAAATTTGAATTAATACCATACAATACATAAACGAATAGAGACTTTATACTTTTATTTTACCTTTATTTTATCCTCATATCATTCCTCTCTATTTTTTTTTTCGTTTTTAGCGGCGTAGATCCATCGGACGACCACAAATTTCAAATAGAGTTGTGTGACGTTGAATTTGATGAATTACCAATACCCACACCAAGAAACATAACAACGACAAAAGCACCAGCAACGACAAATGCGCCAACAACGACAAAAGCACCAACAACAACAAATGCACCAACAACGACAAAAGCGCCAGCTACGACAAAAAAATCACCAGGTGGAGTCCTTGTACCTATGATATAGGACTGTCTACTGGAGATGAAACGCAAACGAAGATTGGTCGTTATTTTGTCATGTACGAAATTCACTATATGACCATAAATAAAAACCTGATATAGATATGAACATGTTTGTTCTTGTTCAATAACCAAATTCAAAGAATAAAGATCGAAGCCCTTCTACATGCTAACAGCATTCATCTTTGTCAATCACTCAAGCCCTAGGTTTTGGATTATTCGGATGTATTTTTTGAAATTTCCAGAATTTCCCCTACTAACCTTTTTAAGAAGCTAAATAACTCATAGTTAGCATTGTTATGTTTCATTGTCGCTGTTGCAACAAAGAAAAGTGACCCTGTAGAATATTGACCGAAGGGTCGAATTTCTACGTTATAAATGACCCTGGGTCAATATTTTTCAAGAGAGATCATTTTTCGACAGTATAAAATCCTTCCTATAACTGGTAATTCTACGTTGAGAAATGCCCTCCTACAAATCTGACGTACATTTTCACTGTATCATAACTAACAACCAAGCTATATGATAAACATGATAACTTTGACTTTTCTATCGTCAACTTCCCTTACTTATGCAGCAATATGCCTTCATCACCTGCATACGGAGTGTATACATCTCAATTGATTCGATACGCAAGAGCATGCTCTAAGTATGAACAATTTCTAATAAAACAAGATGTGTTTGTAAAACGCTGATGCCCCCGTATGGCAACATAGCAAAGATTAAGCTTTTCTTAATTGCAAATTTAATTAATTGGTACCAAAAGTAGGGTATTCTCACTGGAAAACAATTGTGAAATTTGAAAGTAAGCTAATGTTAAAGTTTTTTAATAAGTACAAAAATCTCCAAGGTCAAGGTCAAAAGGTCAATGTGATTAGTATCAAATGAAAGGTCTTGCCACATAAAATACTTATGTAGAGCATGAAAATCCTAGCCCAAACCATTCAGAAGTTATGGTCAACGTTCAATTTCCTAAAAAGTAGGTCAAACTCCAAGGTCAAGGTCAAAGGGTCAAAGTTATTGTTATCAAATGAAAAGTCTTGTCATAAGGATCAAATATGTAAAGTATGAAAGCACTAATCCCAACTTTTTAAAAGTTATGGTCAAGGTTTGCTTTTTAAAAGTAGGTCAATTTCAAAGGTCAAGGTCAATGGGTCAAAGTTCTTGGTGTCCAATGAAGGGCCTTCTTACAAGGATTACATATATGAAGTATGAAAGCCCTATCCCTTACCGTTCAAAAGTTATGGCCAAGGTTAAAATTTTTTTAAAAGTACGGAAATCTACAAGGTCAAGGTCAAAGGGTCAAGGTTGTTGGTATCCAGTGAAAGGTCTTTTAACAAACATTACATATGTGAAGTATAATTGTCCTGGTTTTTACTGTTAAAAAGATATGGCCAAAGTAAAATTTTAAAATTTTCATGTTAAAGTGGGTCAAACTCCAAGGTCAAGGTCAAAATGTCAAATTTGATGATACCCAAAGAAAGGTCTTTTCACAAGGAATAAACATATGAAATATGGAAGTTATAGCTCCACTAAATCAAAAGTTATGGGAAAGGTTTAAGTTATTGCGGACAAACAGAAAGACAGATAGACAGACAGACAGACAAAGAGACAGACAGACAGAAGACACGACAAAAACTATATGCCCCCAAAACTTCGTTTAAAAAAAGGTGTATTATTGACAAGCAAGTTGATGAAACAAGAATATCAGCAGTCTCGTTTAAAGGCATCAATTCGTAAGTTCTATGGTCGATACAATGACCTTGTTAGCGTATTCAATTTATCATTAGTCAAGTGCTGACTGACGTTTTTCATATACCAATAGATGATAAGATAGTAAATTTGTTTTTACAGTAATTTGACTAATTACACCCATTCTTAGATTTATCTGTATTTTGTACAATTTAAGACAGAAAATAAGGAATAAATTTATGAAAAATATGAATTATTTCAATGAAATATATGAATTTGAGAAAATAATAAAGAAACAAGATGTGTTTGTAAAACACTGATGCCCCCGTACCATCAACTTAGCGGCAATTATGACATAAAAAAATCTACCCGTTAACTTATGACCTGATTTCGTTGTTGATTAAGTTGAAGAATTTGAATTTCTTCTAGGATAATAATAACTGAATTATACGTTTCTTACTGTAGTTCTAGTGAGGAAAAAGTCTTGTGATAAGCAACACGTGAATTACTAGTATTTCTACATAATATATGTACTCTGTAATAATATTGAATTTAGTTAAATTCTAGTAAATAAAACTATTGTTTTAACCACGATAATGGATGATTGCATGGATCGAAGAAACGCTTATTTAGGTGGTCTTCAATTTTAAGCTTAATATTTCAGTTTTTGAAACTTCCTAAATTCACTTTCTCTCTCTCTCTCTCTCCCAAAAACGTATAGGAGAACGTTAATTAGTTTTTTGACTGTATGGTATTGACTTTTTTTCACCCACGAAAACACAAAAGAATCAGTGTACCTGTTCTTTATCACCTGGATCTTTTATCTTGATGCGAAATGTGAAGAATCAATTCCAACACAGATAGCAGCCACCTGTATTGTAGAAGGGGAACCCACTTCATCAAGATTATTCTTTAAAATGTGATTTTGACAATGATTCTATCCAAGATATCTATTGTACTTTTGTACTAATTAAAACTAACAGTACTTAGTAGGGTTAAAGACATTTTTTTTTCTTTATCACAAGCAAAATAAGGATTTAAAATTAATCTATTCATTAAATCATGCTTTTAAAAATAGAGATTAAAAGTATATATTATGGATATATTTCATACATTTCAATGTAAAAGAATATTAATTAGGAAAAGGGTTGTTATTTTACTATGTACGTCTGCTAGATTTATGAAAACGACGAAAAGTAAGCTGTGCTTTAGTTGGTGCTTAAAAAAAACAATTATATCTTTAGAAAATCCGATAAATGAAATAGATCTATACTATCTCGTTAAATTATTTTAGAAAAATGAGATAAAAATTAATTTATTGTATTGATTTAAAGTATCTTGAGAAAAATTTTCACTCATATGGAGACGCCTCCACTTGCCGGTGGAAAACTACAAATTTTGTTGTATATTCGCCACTCAGGGTCATTGGGCAGGGAGGGTTCTTTTTTATCATCTACTTCGACACAGAACCTCAGCCCGATTTATAGTCTCATCCAAAGGACCGGCCTCCACATCCCACAGTGGGATTCGAACCCGCAACGTAAGGATCAACTTCTTACTTTGCAACTCTAGAGCTGACACTCTAACCACTGCACCACGCAGAAGACATAAATCTAAGAAAATCTTTGAGAAATTAAACTGGAGTCACGATACATGTTGGTCACAAGAGAGCAGTCTCTGATCACTTCAGTAATGCTTATGTGTGTTTCAGAGTTTAACAAATAGAATACATTCAGTGAAAGTAAACGTTTCACCACGTTTGTTCTCTGCACACATTACGGAGCAATCACTGACAACTTATCACCACTGATACTGGTGAGTTGGTTTTGCTTCCTTGCATATCTACTCTTAATTTTCTGGATTATAATTTTAACATTTTTTATTAATACCCAACAAAATTTCTACCTCCCTTCAGTATAAAATTTATTCTGTAAATGTGTCAATCAAATGCATTCCAAAATTCGTAGTTTCATTCTTTGTGAAATGCTAGGGCAATGCAAGTCATGATATTACACAGAAAATTTGAGAAAATATCAAAAGTACAACTAGTTTGCCTTCTACCTGTACATATTGTATATAATATAAATTTTTGAAAATTGTTTTCTTCTCTCAAATGCCTTAACAATTTTTTATGAACTAAGAAACCCATGACAAGAGGGACAAAAACTTTAAATTTCAAAGTTGCAGTTTCCAATGGTTTCAGGGAGCAAACAAAAACTGTATAATCTTAAAAATTAACTCTTATATTTTTCCATTTCTGGACATATTGTCTTAATAGAATCTTTATGCAATGTCTGCTTCAGATACATTTAAAAGCTGCCTGTACATCTATTCTCCATTCCATCTTCAAGGTATGCTCTGGACATGTCAACATTTGTATATTCAGGTAAACACAGACTTCAGAATATTGAAAATAAGACAGTCTTAAAAAATGTATTACAATCATAAACATAAAATACATGATTATGTATCTAAAATAACACATTTCAATTTTTCAGAATATGTATATTTGAAATACGTGTAATAAGAATTTCAAATTCTGAAATCAAATACCCTTGTACAGCAGCGTATTTGCTTGACAATGCTTGGGTATAAAATCCATCTAACAAGTCCATATTAAAAAATACCTCATATGTTAAATTGTAACAATTTAAGGACTTTTACATCCCAAGTCATTGTACAAACAAATTCCTGGAGCACTGCTTGAAACAAGGAGTCCTTCTGTAGAAGTTTTATAATCATTATGGCTTATTCTTCACGTTGGTAATGGTAACAGATCGGCCACTAACGGCAGAATCTGTTCTGTTCTCAGTCTCCAGTTTTTAATATCCTTTGACACTTGACACCAATACTCTCCGTGCTTGGGGTCGGCGTTTATACAACGCTTTTTGATATCGTTTTGAGAATCCTGTAAATATAAATTGTTTCTTTTTTACAAAAACATGCATAATACATGTATACATTCCAGTCATTTCCTGACTAGAATGCATTATCATGTAATTTTTTACGTTAAATGTTTAGGGAAGGGTATTAATAAAACATTTTTTTTTCTTCTTATCTTAAAGAAATTGAAGCATATGCTCATGTATTATAACCAGGAGCTGTTTAAAATTTTCAATACTGGTTTGGATTTCAACATTGGTGAAAATCACTGTACTTCAAATTTATAACATAAACAACAAGGTTGATTCATTTTACTTCTCTGAAAACAATGTATAGCATTTATAAAATTATTTTTGAAAAAAAATTTTAATTCTTACCTCGTCTCCATGAACCTGCTCAAACTTGTAGAAATATGCCCAGGCATCCCCGAGGTCAGGTTCTATCTTGACAGTACGACTGAACCACTCTCTGGCCTTGGCTACCTTTCTCTCTGCCCAGAATATATACCTTACAAAAAGAGGGGATAAATA